TCATTGCACTGAGCATGTGCAGAACAATTTTCATTGCACTGAGCATGTGCAGAACAATTTTCATTGCACTGAGCATGTGCAGAACAATTTTCCTTGCACTGAGCATGTGCAGAACAATTTCCATTGCACTGAGCATGTGCAGAACAATTTTCATTGCACTGCGCATGCGCAGAACAATTTTCATTGCACTGCACATGGGCATGAGGTGCGCATGTGAGCAAACTGGCAATAGTGCCTGCTGGAATCCACCCCTGATGTGATCCCCTTTTGTGACCTCCTCACAAGCAGAGTCAATGGGGAAGCCAGACTCACTTAACAACCTTGTTACTTATTTAACAACTGCAGTGATTCACTAAATAACTGTGGCAAGGAAGGTCAGAAAATGGGGCAAAACTTACTTCATTTTAGCAACAGAAGTTTGGGGCTCAATTTGTAATCGTGAGTCACAAAAGGTGATCACATGACCCCGGGACACTGCAACCTTCATAGATACATGCCAATTTGCTAAGGGTCCAAATTTTGATCATGTGGTCATCGGGATGCTGCAGTGAAAATGGCCATAAGTCATTTATATCCGTGCCGTTTTAACGTCAGTCGTGAAACAAATAGTTGTAAATCGAACACTGCCTGTAGTGATTGAAGCGCTCATTATGAGATCTTTAAATATTTTTAACCAAAACTTCATCTCCTTTTCAATCCAGGGCAAAGTGGAAGCTGAGTTTCATTTAGTGACGGCCGAGGAGGCTGAAAAAAATCCAGTCGGCAAAGCTCGGAAAGAACCAGAGCCTCTGGAAAAACCCAAGTAAGTGGCACAATTTATCCCAGGTTTATTATACCTGGACAGGTGATAAAATGAACTTTTAACTTTATATCCGTCCTGAAGCTTCCCATCCTCCAGGAGTCTCCTTGACCGAGTGCCACCTTTTATAATATATCTATCAGACACAAAATGTGAAATCAGCATAAACAAGAAACAAAGCCATTACTGTGATTTATTATTTAATCTCCTCATCAGAAGATGGCTGTTTTCCAAGATCGCTGACCATCTGCCTTACATTTAGATTCAGTTGAGCGACTATGGCTTGGAAAGACCTTAGGAAATGGGCAGATTTGGGGAAACAGGTGGGCAAGAAAGAGAGGGAGCGATTACCCACAATTATTAATTTCTAATATAAATACCCCTGCTCAGATATTTTCAGATCTTTCTTCCAGGCCTAGCTGCAGGAGTCCGGAAATAAGATAAACCAAGAGAGATGTATTAGGTGTGTCTGGCAATGAGTTTCTTGAAAAGAATCATAGAATAACAGAGTTGGAAGGGACCTTGGAGGTCTTCTAATCCAACCCCCTGTTTAAGCAGGAAACCCTATACCAATTCACACAAATGATTATCTAACATCTTCTTAAAAGCTTCCAGTGTTGGAACATTCACAACTTCTAGAGGCAAGTTGTTCCACTGATTAAGTGTACTAACTGTCATTAAATTTCTCCTTAATTCAAAGTTGCTGCTCTCCTTGATTAGT